ACTGTTGTATTTTATTAATTAAAATATTATTTTTAGAGGTTGAGATATTTAAACAATAAGTGCAAATTATATTAGTTTTAGCTGCATCCTTTGAAATTTTGTTTATTATGGCAAAAATTTATAAGAAATATATTGTTTATAAGATATATTGTATACATATAATATAATTTATAAAGTATGTTGTGTTTAATATTTAGTATGCAACATTTACAATTGTTATTTCATTAATTAAAATATTATTTTTAAAGGTTGAGATATTTAAACAATAAGTGCAAATTTTATTAGTTTTATCTGCATCTTATGAAATGTTGTTTATTATGTTACGAATTTATAAGAATTATTATAAATATTTTAACATGATAGTGATATTTGTATGTAGTTATTAGTTAATTGTTGTTTTATATTATCGTCATAAATGTTTTTGTATAATTAAATGAAAAATTCGATTGTATACTCTTGTAGTTCCCAAGTTTAACTAGTGATGGTATACTACAAAAAACTTATGGAGAAAAAAATGTTTTACTACTAACATCACAATAAATAAATTGATTCAAATGAAAATTATTTTTAATTAATTTTTTTAAATCAAGAAATCTAAATATTTACAATAGTTGAATTATTGATACTTATTTTTCCTTGAAATCTAAAAGTAAAAATCAAAATATAGTTTTTGAAATTTTTATTTATTTACAATTATTCAATCATTTATAGATATAAAAATGACTTTTTTAAACTCTAGTAATTTTTTTTTTTTACTGTTTTATACAATTTTTTAATTATTTTTTTCTGTCTTCAATGGAGGTAAAAAATTCAGTTTTTCTATCAGAAGCGATTCATAATTTGATAATTTCCATAAGTTTCAATAAAATAAATTTATTTATTTTAAAATGTATTTAAATTAAGAAATTATTGAGTTTTTTATTCTAATTAAGAAAATATGACAAAATGAATCATAATTTTACCCACATTGAGTCTCCACAGATAAAGGCAGTTTAATTTTCTGTGAACCTGTTTTAGGTTTTATAAGTGGTAAAAATATGTATCTTACATGTTGAAATATGCATCTTTTTACATATACAAGATAGAATATGTATACTGTATATGTATAAAGGAAGAATATGTATGTGAAAAAACTTTGTTTTAAGTTTGAAAATTATTCTTATTAGAAATAATAATATAAAAAAAGCATATACTACTTAATATATTAATCATAAATTTATGCCAACATAAAGCTGTATAATACTAAATTTTTCATATTTATAAATTATTTTTAAAAATAATAAATCATTTATTTAAAAAAAAAAAAAGTGATTAAACATTGAAATTATTCTTGTTTCAACTTATATACTAAAGATAGATTATTTTTAATTTTTAATTGTTTCATAAATAAATTGTATTTTTCTATGCATTTTGATTTACTGTCAGTTGTTATTTGTATTAACTAATTTTAAAAAGAAGCGAATTAAATATTTGTCACTGGGCGATAAAATAGCAACTTGGCGACTTGTTGGCGTAAAACCGTGTGGGTGTTTTGATCAGGAAACGATGACAACAGTCAGTCGTGTATGACTCATAACTCCGGTTATTCAGTACTGGCGCAGATGAATTGATAAATGAGAACAAAGTACACGATAAATAGCGGAAAAGAAAGTTGTGTCTGGAATTAGGCATAAATTACTGATTTTAACGATCAGATGTACAAATATATTCACCGCTATCTTTTTAAAAAAGTGAACCAGTATTGGCGCCACATTTGCTTTTTATCCGTAATTTTTTCACTTTTATTTTAGAAAGTAATATTGCAGATAATTTTTAAAATATACTCAGGTTTCGAGGTAAAATAAATACATCATCTGATTCTGATTTTAAAAAGAAAGTAAACACTTAAAATATTTTATTCAATATTTTATGATTTTTTGCAAAATGGAAAATAATATTGTAGATAATTTTAAAACTATTCTCAGGTTACGATAAAAAATAAATACATCATCTGATTCTGATTTAATAAAGAAAGTAAACTCTTAAAATATTTAAAAAAAATATATTGTATTCAATGTTTTCTGATTTATTGCAAACTAAAATAAAAGGTTATTATTTATTTGGTATTATCAGTTTATTTATTATCCTAACACGATTCACTGTTGGCCGTTAAACGTTATAGATCGGCGAATGATTTCTTCAAAAATTCTTTATGTGCTTTACGGAATTGTCAACTCGGGTATCTGTGGTTGTTTGTTGATAGTGTGTTAAAATGTGCAAGTGTATTTGGATCAACTTATTAGTATATGTGTGAACATCCTTTCCAATGATTACTGAGAATAAAAAAAATTAATTGGAGACGCATTAAAATCAATATAATGATGCACTTCAAACTCTTTATTTACTTCTTAAGATATATAAATATATATATGTGTGTATATGTATATGTATGTGTATATGTATATACATGGTGTCCTAGCAAGACCGGATAAACTGCCCAGCCAGATTCGTTGTTTAGAATACGTAAAAAATGCCCAAACAACTGTACCTGTATGACCCATAGCTTTCGAGAAAAATGCGAGAGAAAATGTATGACGTCATATCCGGTTTACGAAAAAAATATGCGCGGGCGATATTTCGAATATCTTCCCATTTAAAATTATGCAAATACTGATGTTTCTAATAAAGGTTTTTTCGTAAACCGGTTATGACGTCATACATTTGCGCTCTCATTTTTCTCGGAAACTATGTGTCATAAAGGTACAGTTGTTTGGGGATTTTTTTATATATTCCAAACAACGAATCTGGCTGTGCAGAATTTATCCGGTCTTGCTGAGACATCCTGCTTATGTATGTGTATATATGTGCATGTATGTTTATATATGTGTGTATATATATCTATATTTATATGTGTGTGTGTTTATAATTTTGATAAATTAACATGCAACCTCTATATGTTTCTGGTTCTAGTGTGTCAGATAACGGTTCTTCTGTACGTGTGTTTGTCACTGAATTCTTCCTAAACGACTTGACCGATTTTAATGAAATTTTGTGTGTGAGTGTTCGACAAAACACGGAGAATGTGTTTATGCTATCCCCTTTGTTGTAAGTTGCTTTGAAAATTGGCAATAATATGTATTCGAGTATGGAAAATAGTTTCGCGCTATCCAGTTTATTATTACTTGCCTCCAGATGGCGCTACAAGTTTTCTTCTTATATAGCGTTCAAAAGATATCCATGAAAATGAGTATGCACATATATTGGAACATGGAGAATATATTCGCGATGTGTAATTTTCTGCAATGCATTATTTTTGGCAGGACAACGTATGCCGGGTTCTGCTAATATATATATGCACAGTCTAGTCACATTAATGTGACCACCTGTCAAAAGCCAGAATATACACTCTTGTATATTCTGGCTTTAAGTGGAGTGTGGTATTAAGTGGAATTCTTTATATACACTCCACTGCAATGTGCTGCCACCTGCCTTTTGTGATTGGTTATTTCACGTTGATGTCGAAGGTAGGTGGTGGTCACATTAATGTAACTAGACTTTGTTTATATATATATATATGTGAGGCAACGGGTTTTGAAATCGTGATAAAAAAAGTATTCTCACCATAGGGCATTACATCGCTCATGAACGGAAATTAAAAATTTTGTAGTTGGATCTTGTTGACATTGTGATCATATTCCAACAGGTGAAAACCAAGTGTTGTAAAAACCACTTCTACATTATAAAAAACGCAGATCAAATTGAATTACATGTTAATGCGTTTTATATGTACCTGCTATTATTATACCCGGTTAACAGGTACTACGAAGTCCAAAACGTAAGACCAATTATCAATTTAAAATTCCCGGAGCTTATGGAGTTTTTTTTTCTTTTTTAGAGTGTTGCTACTGTCCTTGACATCTGTGTGAAATTCACCGTCAAAATATTCATTAGTATTTGAGTGACGCTTGGCTTTGTAAGATGCTAAAACATTCCAGCGATTTTTGAAATGACTGAATTAATTGAGCAAAGAGCTCGCATTCAGTTTTGTTTGCGGAAACGTATAGAAAGTTGCAGAAGGCAATCGGTGAGCATTCCTATATCGGAAAGAAATGTTTACAATTGGTATAAACAGTTCAAAGAAGGCAGAGAACGCATTGAAGACAAAGAGCCCTCTGGTCGACCCTCAACCTCAACCGACGAAGCTCACGTCCAAAAAATTAAAGATTTGATGCTTACAAACCGCCGATTTACAATTAGAGACTTTGCTGTTGATGTGGAATTTCAAAAGGATCGGTCAATTCCACTTTGGGCCTCTAACGCGTCCAATCTCGATTGGTACCGAAAACACTGAATGCGCCAGCTCACACTGCAGTGAATCTTCGTGACTCTTTCGCCAAATATGAAACACATATCGTTCCACAACCATCTTATTCACACCATGCGACTTCTGGCTATTCCCTAAACTCAAAAGACACAGTTTTGAGTCGATTGAAGGATTCAACGTGAATCGCCGCGCACTTTGAAGGCCATCCCTGCCGATGACTTTTTAGCATGCATTGAGGATTGGGAAATAAGTGCATTGTGTCCGGAGGGGATTACTCTGAAGGCGATGAAATAAATTTGGAAGAATAAATAAATAGTTTTTGAAAAAAAATAATTGGTCTTTCTTTTTCACCACAGTAGTATATAATGAAAAATATAAACATCACTGATTTAATATGTGGTTTTGTATTCAAATTATTATTAATTTTTTAAAGCAAGACATGCTCAATAATTATCTCTCATATGGTTAACATTAATCGATTTTTCAATATTCATTTCTGGATCAGGTTTTAATCTGGAATTTTCCAAGAAAAAAATTGCTAATCATATCATATTCATTGGCGTAACAGCCCCATGGTTGGCCAAAGCTGTCGGCCCACTGGTATATCTCGAGACAAGAGATGTTTTCTTTTTTTACGAGATAAAGGTGTCAGCCCTGCGCCAAACAGTCATATTAGACCTTAGTCAATTTTTTTCTATCGGCCATACTATGCTGAATATACCGGTTCTCGTTCGATCACCGAAGTTAAGCATCATCAGACGCTGTTAGTAGTTGGGATGATGAACTGGGAACATCTAGTACCGTTGGCATTCAAAATTTGGGGCCTGAATGGGAGAGTGTCTAGCTCTCTGGCGCTTGGTGCCACAGATTTCGGGTTTGAATCCCGGCGGTGAATCCACTTTAAACCGTAAGTCATGGTATCATATGACTGTAGAGCGTTACAGAGCCCAATCAGACCTCTCACCCACTACATTCCCAAACTGTATGGGGACATCTCAGCTCTGTCACAGTGATGTGTGTAGTGTAGTAGTATTAGTCATATTAGACAAGGAACTACGCTTTAAATTAGATTCTGAGGCATAAACATCCATGGTACCGCCGAGACTCGAACACGAAACCATTACAGAGCGCTTCTCACTCCGACATCAGGCCCCCTGCTAACCATATACATTTTAAAAATTAAATTAGTTTATGACACTAGAATATTAACAATGGGTCAAAATCAATGCAACTTCTAATCTATCTAAGTAAATAATTGCTTTAAAGAATTTGTATAAGAAACATGATTTACTGTAACAGATTTTTTGCCCAGCTCATAACTTGACTGCAAAATGAAAACGTTTTTTTCAATTCCTACTGTTTGTTCACACTCTCCCTATATATATCTTGTTCAAATTTTCAATCGTTCATAAAATACTTTTTATTCATCCACTCGAGTTCAAATACATTTTTTTTTTGAACTTGTAGTGGATGACACTTGATGGTAATACAGTTTTTTCAAATATTAATTCATTCATTAAATTTAATTAATGAATTTAATTTTTTTTTTTTAGATTTAAGTTGCATGTATGTAATAATAGATGGAGCCAGTTGTAAGACTAAAATTTCAACTTTATTTGTAAAGGACTTTTCTGCGATATAGTGGAAAAAAAGTAGGAATTGACTTTAAAAAAAATTTTTTTTTATTACTTGTTTCTACGTTATTTGGAAAATATCTAACTTTTTTTTTCAAATTTTAAACGTGTAATATTAAAATACGGATCAAAAGTTAAGCATTAGTAATTTTAAATTCGCTATAATTACGATCAAAAAAATTTTACACAATTTTTTATTAATTGTGATTTAAATTGTCATAGGAAATATGTCGTACCGCACTATTCAAGAACCACTGTATTATGTGAAAAGTTTTAATAATCATTAGAATATAACCGAAATCCCTTATCTATTACAAATAAACACAGATAATTTTAATACGCAAAGAATATTGATGGCCTTGTTTTTGAAATCAAACAAGTTTGATAATTTAGTTTTAAAAAAATGTCACGTTAAAAAATACATATTGGATTTAAAGTGAAAATGCATCGCAACAATATGTTGCACAATGGATGGAAATTTATCTTATCAGTTTTGAAAAACAGCATATCTGAAATTATCATCCTCTTTCCTTTAAATAAGAACGAAAGTACACTGAAATTAAAGGGAAAATACTTTTTTTGTATGAATTAACGCGTGTTTTTATTATTAAACGTTATAAATTAATTCATTAATAATTTAATTATTTAAATTATTACATCAAAAGATAGTTATTTAGTGTTTAATTTTCAAAGTTATAATATACAAGTTATGTAAAAAAAAAAATTTTTTTTTAAATCAATTCCTACTTTTTTTTCTCGATATTGCAGAAAGTCCTTTATAAATAATTTTCATTCACTTTTTTAAGTTTATCTGGCGCCATCTATTGATAGATATATGCAGCTTATTTCTAAAAAAAACTAAAATTAATTAATTAAATTTAATGAATGTATTAATATTTTAAAAAAACTGTATTAACATCAAGTGTCCTCCATTACGAGTTCAAAAAAATGCATTTGAACTTGAGTGGATGAATAAAAAATATTTTATGAACGATTGAAAATTTGAACATGATATATATATAGGGAGAGTGTGAGCTAATAGAAGGAATTGATTATTAAAACTTTTCCCATAGTACAGTGGTTCTTCAATAGTGCGGTACGACATATTTTCTATTAAATCACAATTAATAAAAAATTGTGCAAAATTTTTGTGATCATTTTTTTAACTATAGCGAATTTAAAATTACTAATGCTTAACTTTTGATTCGTATATTAATGTTATCCGTTAAAAATGTGAAAAAAAAATTAGATACTTTTCACAACAACGTATAAAACAAGAAATAATAAAAAAAAATTTTTTAGGTCAATTCCTACTCTTTTTTCACTATATTACAGAAAGTCCTTTATAAATAATTTTCATTCATTTTTTTGAATTAGAAAAAATTATCTCTCTGTCACACACTTTCTGTCTCTCACTAATTTATTCACATGTTTCATTTTCCATTTTGTCCCCTCCTTGAATAATAGAATGAATAATTCCCAGAATGAATAATACAAAAAAAAAAAAAATTTTAAAATCAATTCCTATTTTTTCCCCATTATATTGCAGAAAAGTCCTTTACAAATAAAGTTGTTGCATCTGGCGCCATCTATTATTAGATACAGGCAACTTAAATCTAAAAAAAAACTAAAATTAATTAATTAAATTCAATGAATGAGTTAATAATTGAAAAAACTGTATTGGCATCAAGTGTAATCCACTACGAGTTAAAAAAAATGTATTTGAACTTGAGTGGATCAATAAAAAGTATTTTATGAACGATTTAAAATTTGAACAAGACATATATAGGGAGAGTGTGAGCTAATAGAAGGAATTGAATAAGTTAATATTTTTCGAAATTTATCGACTCTCACCCCATTCGTAATATGAAGAGAAGGGATGATGCTAGAACACACTAATGACCTTTTATGCAGTTACTACTTAGTTAGAGCCAACGGCCGTACCATGCTGAATATACCGGTTCTCGTTAGATCACCGAAGTCAAGCATCATTGGGCGCGGTCAGTACTTGGGTGGGTGACCACCTGGGAACACCGCGTGCCGTTGGCAAATTTGGGACCTGAATGGCCGAGTGTCTAGCGCTCTGGCGCTCGGTGCCACAAGTTTCGGGTTCGAATCCCGGCGGTGCCATGGATGTTTGTAGTGGTTCGGAATCCACTTTAAGCTGTAGGTCCCAGTCTCCTATGACTGTAAGAGCGTCACGGAGCAAAAGTCAGGCTTCTACCTACGGGTGCTCCATCACAACAGAAGCTGCTTCCTTCCCATTCAATCATGAGCACGTGTGGGCTCGTGGGCTTGGCCAGCCAAGTGGGATAAGAAACAACAAACAACAACTACTTTCATTAAATGCCTCTCTCTCATCGGCAGTCAGGATGCATGGTGGAAGTTTACTGGCTTTTCTCTCATAAGGCACTAAATGTGGGGCAGTTAGTTCTTAAATGTTAAATTTTCAACGTTATAATATACAATCAAGAGCCTTCGCATCGATGCCACAAGTCCTTGGTAGATGGCCGGAGACAGATTGTACCAGATGTTTAAGCAACGGTCACGCAAATCCGAGATATTGCGAATCGGTGGTCTTTGAACTCTGAGCTGCCGTCCCAGGACATCCCAAATGTGTTCTATCGGATTCAGATCCGGTGAGTTAGGCGGACAGGACATTAACTGGAATTCAGCATCATGTTCCTGGAACCAATCCAACACAATTTTAGCCTTGTGACAAGGGGCGTTGTCCTGTTGGGAACGTCCCCCAAAGCATAATACCGCCACCACCGGCCTGTGTATGACCTACTGTACATTGAGGGAGCAACTGTTCGTCTGGAAGACGGCGTATCCTGACACGGCCATCGGCGTGATGAATGACAAACTGCGATTCATCTGACCAGGCAACTCTCTCCCACTGATCCATGGACCAGTCACGATGTTCCCGGGCCCAGCAGTTGGCGATGACGCTTGGTCAGCAAAGGCACACGAGTGGGACGTTTGCTGCGTAGCCCCATATCCAACAGTGTCCGCTGAACAGTGTGCTCCGATACTATTCTACTTGGCCCTGTATTGTATTGGGCTTTCAGCTGAGCCACTGTCTGGCTCCGGTTTTGCTTCACCATGCTAACAGTCTCCGAGACCTCTTTGATAGCGTGTGGACATCCAACACCATGTCGTCTACTGCTGGTTTCATCGTCATTCATCCACTTTGCATAAGTACTAACAACTGTAGATCGCGAACAACTCACGAGTCGTGAAGTTTCGGAAATACTTGTTTCGAGCCATTACAATCTGCCCTCTATCAAAGTCGCTTAGATCCGCAGCCTTTCCCATCACACACAGAAGTAAGTGAAAGAATGATTCTTCAGACTCTCCAGCAGCAGTTAAAAACCACTTCCACCTGATCACGTGCCTTCCACGTCATCCAGGCGAGTTCATTGCAAAATGGGGGGGTGGTCATAATGTTTTGGCTCTTGAGTGTATAAGTGAATAATTTTCGAAAGGATCGAATTGTGCCCAATTGATAATATGGAGAGAAGGGATGATACTGGAATACTCAGTTGGCATTTGATGCAGTTATTACTTACAGAAACATCGTGGAAAGAAAATGGCAATTGTGAAAATATATGTTAAATGCCTCTCATCGATATCAGGATACATGATTGGAGTTTACTGGGTGTTCTTCCATAAGACCCTCAAATCTGGGGCAATTAGTCTTAAACGTTCTCCCTGAATGTTTAATGTTCAACCGTCATCATATATAGGTGGGCTGTTAGAGGTACGCATAAAAGGAACAGAAGGCCCACCGATTTTTTATTTTATTATTGCCAAAGCACTTGATTTTACATCATTAGCTTGCATGAGATTGGAGCATAAAGATGGAATACAAAACATTAACTCATAACAATGACAATAATTACATCAAAACCGTGACTGCATAAAGATAAAAGAAAACAAGTAATATAAAAAAAAAATAATAATAAAGTCAATTCATACTTTTTTTTTTCACTATATAGTAGAAAATCCTTTATAACTAATTTTAATTCATTTTTTATGCTTATCTGGCGCCCTCTATTGGTAGATATATTCAACTTAAATCTAAAAAAAAAAAAAAAATGAATGAATTAAATTTAATTACTGAATTAATATTTGACAAAACTGTATTAGCATCCAGTGTCATCCGCTA